GGCCCTCGGCGCTGGACCTCAGTGTCTGGGCTGAACAATGGAGGTGGAGATGCTCCTTCATGTGTCCAAGCAAGAAAGTGGAGAGCAGGGTATGGCAACCAGCCTCCCTCTGCTACACAATGTGTGTGGAAGTAGTGGAGGCAGGCAGAGGAGGAAAAAGAAACCTGACTCCCTCAGCTATGGAAGGGATAACAGAGGCAGAGAGAAAGAGACACATGCAGACGGTGAAGCTCCATTCCAACTTCATTCCAGTCCCCCCCCCCGCCTGCATCTCTCTCTACCTTTCCCCTCCCTTCCACAACCAATGGAGCCTGGGTTTCTTCTGACTCAGTCTGCCTCTGACACTTCCATGATCATCTTGCAGTATAACGAGCCAGGAATCTTTTTCCTCTTGTCTCCCTCCCTCTTCCATTCATATTACAGTGGTGCCTCGCAAAATGAAAAGAATCTGTTCCGCGATTCTCTTCGTCTAGCGGTTTTTTTGTCTTGCGAAGCAACCCTATTAGCAGCTTAGCGGATTAGCGCTATTAGCGGTTTAGCGGCTTAGCGGCTATTAAAGGCTTAGCGGCTTAGCTGCTAAAAGGCTATTAGCGGCTTAGCGGCTTAGAAAAAGGGGGGGGGAGCGAGAAAAAAATCGCAAGACTAGCCAGACGTTTCGTCTTGCGAAGCAAGCCCATAGGGAAATTCGTCTTGCGAAGCAACTCAAAAACGGAAAACCATTTCGTCTAGCGGGTTTTCCGTCTTGCGAGGCATTCGTCTTGCGGGGCACTACTGTATAAGCCTACCTACCTGCCTGCCTACTTAATATACAGACCAATTATGTAATCGTTTATCCAATTCCTCCTCTACCCTGTGAACTGTTCCTGTTTAAATGATTCTAACTCCACATATTTCAGTGATTTTCCTCCATAGGGAAGAAGAAGAAGAAGAAGAAGAAGAAGAAGAAGAAGAAGAAGAGGAGGAGGAGGAGGAGGAGGAGGAGGAGGAGGAGGAGTTTGGATTTGATATCCCGCTTTATCACTACCCGAAGGAGTCTCAAAGTGGCTAACATTCTCCTTTCCCTTCCTCCCCCACAACAAACACTCTGTGAGGTGGGTGGGGCTGAGAGACTTCAGAGAAGTGTGACTGGCCCAAGGTCACCCAGCAGCTGCATGTGGAGGAGCGGGGAATCAAACCCGGTTCCCCAGATTATGAATCTATCGCTCTTAGCCACTACACCACACTGGCTGAGATAGCAATTTAAAAATAAATAAAGTCTAATTCCACATCTTTAATTGCATTTTTAATCGCTGTTAAATGATAATTATATATCATTTAATCATTAAATATGTATAATTGCTTTTCACGTTTCTGTCCTTAACTAACACATTTTATCTAATAGCTATAGCTAAATAAACATATCAGACACCTTCAGGGATTAGGGGATGAGAGCTCCTTAGAATACATTCGTTGTCCCATTGTTACTTCCTACTTCAGAGGAGGTTTGGATTTCCTGAAAAACGGCCCATGTAGCCTCACAAGCACATTGCTGGCCCCACCCCAAAATGTCCACGCATTACTGAGGTTGTCTGTCCTGCCCTGAAGAAGTCTACACCTGCTTCTGCAAAGCTGTTCAGATACACATGTAAATCCTTCCCCAGTATTTACATTGTTCAATGTTTAGGTGATACTGACACCAAAACTAGGATTTGCATGAACAACCCCTTCAGTGAAAAATGCTGTTTTCTTTTGGTTAGAATGCATTGGATAAATTCATGGGTTCATTTGAATTGTCATTGATAGCTGAAGGGAAGTAAACACAAGCTGTGTTTGGATAATAATTTGAGTCTCTGTAAATTGTTTATGATGCTATAAACAGGCATCAAGGCCAAACACTTCTCACCATCCTTCACTCTTGATCTGGTGAACCAAGACTGGACCACAGTTTCTTGACGTGAAGAAACAGGGGACTCTAGCACAATATCAGCCAGTATTTGCACCAAAGCTGACATGTCAAATGTGATTATTATTATTATTTCATATTTTTTTCCCTTTCTTTTAATTCTTTCTTTAAATCTCTCTCCCCCCTTGTTTTTTCTTTTTCTTCTTTTTCTTTTTACCTTCTTTTTTTGGTCTTTTTCTTTTGATCTGTTAAGAAGAGATAAGAGTTAAATATAAAAATTTGAGTAAGTTAAAGTGATGTTCCATAATTTTTCAACTATTGTTAAAGATGGTCACTTGTAATGAACTGATGTAGTAGCTATTGTGGATTTTTGGTTATTGTTGAATCTTAATAAAGTTTTTTTGTTTTGTTTTGTTTGTTTTTTTAAAAAAGACATGTCATGTAAGGAGGGAAGGTAAAGGGCAAAAAAGGCCAGTTCATCCCAGACTTCATGAACACTGGCATATGGAGCCTCAAAAGTATGCTGCCAGCCACACCTTAAAATGCCCCACACATTGGTATGGAGGTCTGCACTGCACTGAAGAAATTCTCTGTCTATGTCTGCAAACCTGTTCAGATATACATGTAAATGCTTCCCCAGCATTTACATTGCCCAATGTTTAGATGACACTAAAACTAGGATTTGAATGAACAGCTCCCTGAATGCAAAATTTTGTTTTCCTTTTGGTTAGAATGTATTTGATAAATGCATAGGATCATTTAAATTGCCATTGATACCCGATAGATTTGTATAATGTCATTATGATATCGGCAATTTTATTTCCAATTCCTTTCCTAATAATCCCTAGCATGGAATTTGCCTTCCAAAGCACTTTCTCTTGTATACGCCTGTTTAGGGCTGTGCAAAGCCAACCCCACTATGGTTTTCAATACACCTTTGAAGAGAAACAAAGCTGGGCGAAGATAGTGTTATATCTTGTGGCAAACTTTGGGTCAGGTATAATGAATCAGAGAGATCAAGAGACAAAAAATAAAATAAAAAATGTGCTGGAATAGCTTGCAATCAGAAAATTTGCAGAAACCAGAGAAACTCCGAAGTCCTGAGGAAAATTCAGTGTTTCAAGCTCACTGCAAAATGTACAGGAACTCATACAGAAATCTTCATCTGTACTTAAACAGTTTGGCAGTATCATGTGATGAGAAAAAATGATTGCCAGTGGGTGATCAAGATTTTCACCCGCAAACTTGAGAGGAGATTCTTCCCCTCTAAGAATAGGTGGAAGAAAAGTAGGTTTCCAAGTGGTGGAGGAGGATAAAATCAACTCTGACTATTTCAGGAGAGATGCAGTTGTTGAACAGAATCATAAAAAAGTTTCTAAATTTCAATTCTCAACCAGGTTAAAAGAATCATGGATAAGGAAAAAAGAACAAAACACATTTAAGGTTATATCAAATGAAAGAGACAACTATGTGCAGGATTAATTAACTATGCTGGCCCCCATATATTTGCCTATCTTAAAAGGGAGGCTGGTGGTGCTGTGGTCTAAACCACTGAGCCTCTTGGGCTTGCCGATCACAAGGTTGGTGGTTCGAATCCCTGCGATGGAGTGAGCTCCCGTTGTTCTGTCTCAGCTCCTGCCAACCAAGCAGTTCGAAAGCAAGCCAACGCAATTATATAAACAGGTACTGTTGTGGTGGGAGGTATTCCATTGTGCCAGAAGTAATGCTGGCCATGTGACCCAGAAAGCTGTCTGTGGACAAACACCGGCTCCCTCGGCCTGAAAGCGAGATGGGTGCCACAACCCCATAGTCACCTTTGACTAGACTTACCTGTCCAGGGGTCATTCAACTTTACTTTTACCTAATAAACACTTGGGGTGCTTGCTGATCCTGTGTCTGCTACAGGCTTGTCCTTCAGATAACTAGAATCACCACCTTGTGAAAGTGTTGTTTTAATACAAGTATTGCAACGACATGTTTAGGCAGTATACTATGAGGGAAATAGACATAGTCAATTTGCAACATGTTTTGCATTTAAACAGAAATATGTTTACAAATCTCAACAGTTTACAAATCTCAACAAAAATAAATCAATATTAGCAATACTTTTTTCCATGTGATGTAGACGCCAGTTCAACTGAAACATGGAGGTTATCTGTAATCAATGGAATGGAGGTTATCTGTGATCAATATGCCTAACGGTCTGAGAAGAATGTCAATCAACTCTACAGTAAGTCAGGTGCAGCAGGTGTGGCCATTTTCCCACTGTCTTGTGGAATCATTTGCAGTTGATGTGGCCTGATGAAGTGTGCAAGATACTTGCAGCTTTGCATCTGACAATGTGCCATTTGGATCCCTGCCCATCCTAGCTGGTGAATGCCAATGGAGAAGTGTGTGTGTGTCATTGGGTTCAGGGTTTAGCAAACACTTCATTGTATCAGTTACAGATAGGTAGCCATGTTGGTCTGCCACAGTCAAAACAAAAAAAATTCCAGGTATCTGAAGAAGTGTGCATGCACACGAAAGCTCATACCAAGAACTAACTTAGTTGGTCTTTAAGGTGCTACTGGAAGGAATTTTTTTTGTTTTGACTTCATTGTATGATGGTGATAGAGCATTCCATTTTGGGATAAGGTAGTGGAATGAGTCATTGTCAGGAGTATGGTCTCCCTCTCAAACGTGTCTGAAAGCTGTGCCTGTTCTCCCTGCCTTCCATCTCCCTGGGAATTAATGACAGTTTAATCCCCTCCAGCTGTTCCTGGAGGTGACAGATTACCGCAATTTCAATCTGGGTCCAGGACTGAGACACAAGGAGCATGATGCTGCTTCTCTTGGTAGCTTTTGATAACATTGAACATGATATCCTGCTGCACCAGCTCTGTGGGATGGGTCAGATTTAGATAGTCACATTGAAGGCTGATCCTTCAGACCCCACAGCTACGCTCTATGTTTCTACAGGGCTATCCAAAGTCAATCTATTTGAGTTTTTACAAAGCACAAACAAGAATCCTTAGCACTAGAATGTGGAGCACAGAAGCTCTGTTGAATTTTATCTTGAGAGAAAGATTGGGTAGAAAAATACTGAATGAAGAATAAATAAACAACACATGCATCATAACTAGGTTTCCAGTTCCTCTCTACTCTCTCCCTCCTCCACAAAGATTTTCTTTAGTATACTCTCCATGCTTCTCCTAGTATTGTCCCCCCTCTGTCTCCCAACCAGGAAATAGATCAATGGATTAACACTGCTGTTTAGGCAGGCACAGAAGTAACCATAACGCATAATATGGGAGGGCAAGTGCTGATTAAGCACTTTCATACAGGAAAAAACATTCAGTGGGAAAGAAAAAATGAGAAAGAAGAATAGAGTCAGCAAGATGGCTACCAAACGTTTTCCTCGCTGGTATGGTTGTGATTTAAAATAGACTTTGATGAACAGAGTCAGAGTGGAGATAGTTAAGAGTGGGAGACAAATGATGCCATTTATGAAGAACTGCAAGTGTTTTAGGAAATAATATGTAAATTCATGTGTCAAGAAAAGAGTGAAGTGAATTGCAGGGAGAAGAAAGGACAGGACCCACAACAGGGCAGAGACAGTGCTGGATAAGTGTGTTGGCCGGTGACATCGATACCAAAGTGGGAAGAGGACAGACACACACCTGTCAATGCTGATGGCTGTCAGCAGAAATTGGCCAACACTGTACGTGAATAGGAAGAGGTCATTGAACAATACACTTATAAGATCACGATACAAATTAGTTATGCTCCAGTATATTAGTAGAATACTTTCAACAATGAGCAACCCGAAGTCAGCAGCGGACAGGTTCACAATGTATGTTGAGAAAGTGCTCCTCTTAATGCGGACGCCAAGCAGCCAGATGACAGTCCCGTTGCCCCACAGCCCAAACATGATGAAGGGAAGAGTGATGGGAAAAAAAATATATGTTTCTAAATTATATTTAGCAATCGATCCTGGATCATCATTGTTGGTACCATTCTTTGGAAACTCTGTGCAGTTGTATGTCGCTGGATATCCTTTGCTGACATCCAAACAAAGCAAGGATGGCTGAATGAAATTAGCCATTCTGTTCAAATTTTGCTTTCGGGTCCTTCTGCTGTAGAATCGCCTCCTAAAAGAACAGAGGGAGAGAGGGGTGGAGTCAGTCCCTGCTACTGATCTGGACAAATACCGTATTTTTCGCTCTATAAGACACACTTTTTCCCTCCTAAAAAGTAAGGGGAAATGTGTGTGCATCTTATGGAGTGAATGCAGGCTGCGCAGCTATCCCAGGAGCCAGAACAGCAAGTCAGATTTTTTTTTCTTGTTTTCTTCCTCCAAAAACTAGGTGCGTCTTATAGAGCGAAAACTACAGTAGATGCCAGGTAAGGCTGGCATGTTTGCCTCATTTATGGAATCGGTTTGAAAATCCATAACTGATATTTTTAAATGGAAGTACTGGTGGGCAAGAGAGTGAGGAATTTTTTCTCTGGTTGTTCCATGTCTCTGGGACGCTTTACTTGTCGGCTTTGCTCCATTTCTTTTTGAAGGCTATGTCAGCAACATTTTAGAAAAGCAACATTATTCAGCTGTGGGGGCATTTTACTGCTGATTTTATGAGCAATGTTTGTAGAATTTATTTGGATAAGAAGAGTTTGGATTTGATATCCCGCTTTATCACTACCCTAAGGAGTCTCAAAGTGGCTAACATTCTCCTTCCCTTTCCTCCCCCACAACAAACACTCTGTGAGATGAGTGGGGCTGAGAGACTTCAAAGAAGTGTGACTAGCCCAAGGTCACCCAGCAGCTGCATGTGGAGGAGCGGAGACGTGAACCCGGTTCCCCAAATTACGAGTCTGCCACTCTTAACCACTACACCACACTGGCTTTTGGAGTTTGGGGAGGCTAATTTATTCTGTTACTTTGTCAGTAGGTAAATTAACTTGGATGACTTTTTGTTCAGAAAGTGTGTGTGCGCGCACACACACACAAACACATGTGGATTTCCATGTCACCATCAGACCCCATTATACAGGTGTGTACTTCCCTGCCACCTCATTCTTCTTTAGCTCCCTTCTTCCTATTCTCCTTCTGGCTTGCCATTAGGATGAAAAAGACCCAGATTCCTTAGCAAAATTAGATTCCTTTCTGTGTCTCCCTTAGTCTCCATTTTCTCTTCTTTTCCTGTTACCTCCTTACCTCCAGTTTCCCTTTACCATGCGTCATCCCTCCTTATGCCCCAGGGACCCAGCAACATCTCCCCAACCATTTCCTTCAAACTTCTGTAGAAGTGTTGAGAGACTTCAGAACCCTTTGAATTTTTTGCAGCCTCATTTCCAGTCTGTCTGAGCCCACTAGGTTGACTAGAACGCAACCCAGGAGGCAGCTCAACAGCTGTAGCCTCCATGATCTCCAGAAACCCAACATTTCACATGAAACCCTCCCTTTGCTTTAGGATACTTACTTCCCCCCTTTCAGTATACAAAGTTTTCCATGTTGTTGTTGGCAATTGTCAGTCTCAGGAGACAATGGAGTGTTCCTTTGGGGGTGAAGTCAAACCAATGGAAAATTACAGCACCTGCTGTGGTTGTAGAGACTGATATGGGAGAGACCCATTTCACTGCAGGTGGGGCAGATGAAGGGATATGCTGTTACTTACATTGTCTTTACAAAACACAGAGTGACCGTGAAATCGTTCTCATATTTACTCCATTGAATTAGGGTTCACTCCTAACTATATATGTATAGCCTGTTACTGGGGCTCTTGACAAAAAGCCTTTCCCTCCGTGTCTCTCTCAGGCAACTCAAACTCCTCCATTGAAATATAAAAGGAGATAACACAATCGTGTAACTTTTTAAGCACCAGTGTTCTAGGGCTGCATTTTTGTTCAACCCTTGTTGTGCTATAGTCCTTCCAGACAGCAATAGTGTGGTAGCATTTGGGAAGTATGACAGGACAGCTCATAAAGCAGAATAAACCCAAACGGTATCACTATTTTTGTAGGAAGAGCATGCTGCAGAAAGCAGCCATAACTTAACATTTAGTCTGCCGGGGGCTGAAGACACAAGTTTAATGTCAACTGTGAAAAATATAACTTGGAAAGGAAGAGATGAATAACAGCAAAGGGATTTTTTCTTCCTCTTAGTAAGGAAAATGGCTAAGGGATTCAGCCAAAAGCTTTAGAGCACTTTTACTTCCCTTTTTTGAGGAGGGGTGTGGTGGAAAAAAGAAAGGGAGACTGAAATAGAGCCAAGAGCTACCGCAGAAGATAATTTCCCATCAAGAAAAGATTCCATGCACAGAAAGTCCTACCTTTGTCCAATCACATCTGTTTTCCAGGAAAAGAGAGCAGAGAGACTTGCGATATTCTGTTTCTAGAATTTCAGGGTCTCGGTCACAACCTCTTCTCTGCATTCAACACATATTGTACATCCACCACTGAACACAAAATCTTGAGCAGATAATGTCAGGGAGTGCTTTGTGTTCAATAAGGGCAGGGGTGCAGCATTCATATCCTGTTAAAATGTTCATAGCCATTAGTTGGTGCCCCAATTAGTCATGAGCAGGTTTCTATTTTCCCAGCTTAAATACTTCAGCAATTTCCTGTGCATTCAGGAAATCACTTATCCAAGTCTCCAGAGACATATGCACTTTATGCTTGCAGGTGTTTTGAGGGCTCTTGCTCATCCGCAGAATCATAGAATCATAGAATCATAGAGTTGGAATAGACCACAAGGGCCATCGAGTCCAACCCCCTGCCAAGCAGGAAACACCATCAGAGCACTCCTGACATATGGGTGTCAAGCCTCTGCTTAAAGACCTCCAAAGAAGGAGACTCAACCACACTCCTTGGCAGCAAATTCCACTGTCGAACAGCTCTTACTGTCAGGAAGTTCTTCCTAATGTTTAGGTGGAATCTTCTTTCTTGTAGTTTGGATCCATTGCTCCGTGTCCGCTTCTCTGGAGCAGCAGAAAACAACCTTTCTCCCTCCTCTATGTGACATCCTTTTATATATTTGAACATGGCTATCATATCACCCCTTAACCTCCTCTTCTCCAGGCTAAACATGCCCAGTTCCCTTAGCCGTTCCTCATAAGGCATCGTTTCCAGGCCTTTGACCATTTTGGTTGCCCTCCTCTGGACACGTTCCAGTTTGTCAGTGTCCTTCTTGAACTGTGGTGCCCAGAACTGGACACAGTACTCCAGGTGAGGTCTGACCAGAGCAGAATACACTGGCACTATTGTGGGAGAATCAGAACCTACAGGGTTAAGAGGTTCTGTGTGTGACGTCTTGCATCATGAGGCGTGGTTACGCATAGACGCTTATGGGAGTGGTTTGCTCTGAGTAAGTCAGTCTGCCTCTGGTACGCTATGCGAGAGGAGGATGTCGGCTCGATCGCCGGGAGATTTACGATCTGTTATTCTACTTGATTAAAGGCTAAGAGGATAAGGAAAGCCTTGTGTCTGCGTTGAGTTATTACCCCACGCTGCAATCTTGCTTCTAACTGCTGTGTTTTCTCTGCTACCGGCAAGAGGCAGAGGACTTTTGGAACGGCATGGAGAGAAAGCAGAGTTGCGCAATGGAAGCGTGCCGGACGCCATTTTCGACCTTTCTTGGTCCTTTTGGCCTCTTGGCCGGCATAACTATTACTTCCCTTGATCTAGATGCTATACTCCTATTGATGCAGCCCAGAATTGCATTGGCTTTTTTAGCTGCCGCATCACACTGTTGGCTCATGTCAAGTTTGTGGTCAACCAAGACTCCTAGATCTTTTTCACATGTACTGCTCTCAAGCCAGGTGTCACCCATCTTGTATTTGTACCTCTCATTTTTTTTTGCCCAAGTGCAATACTTTACATTTCTCCCTGTTAAAGTTCATCTTGTTTGTTTTGGCCCAGTTCTCTAATCTGTCAAGGTCGTTTTGAAGTGCGATCCTCTCCTCTGGGGTGTTAGCAACCCCTCCCAGTTTGGTGTCATCTGCAAATTTAATCAGGATGCCCTTGAGTCCATCATCCAAGTCGTTGATAAAGATGTTGAATAAGACCAGGCCCAAGACAGAACCCTGTGGCACCCCACTAGTTACACTTCTCCAGGATGAAGATGAACCATTGATGAGCACCCTTTGGGTTTGGTCAGTCAGCCAGTTACAAATCCACTGAGTGGTAGCATAGTCAAGACCGCATTTTACCAGCTTCTTTACAAGAATATCATGGGGCACCTTGTCAAATGCCTTGCTGAAATCAAGGTAGGCTACATCCACTGCGTTCCCTTCATCTACCAAGCTTGTAATTCTGTCAAAAAACGAGATCAGGTTAGTCTGACATGACTTATTTTTCAGAAATCCATGCTGACTATTGGTGATCACAGCATTCCTTTCTAGGTGCTCACAGACTGTTTGCTTAATGATCTGCTCCAGAATCTTCCCTGGTATTGATGTCAGACTGACTGGGCGATAATTATTTGGGTCCTCTCTTTTCCCCTTTTTGAAAACAGGGACAACATTTGCCCTCCTCCAGTCTGCCGAGACTTCGCCTGTTCTCCAGGAATTCTCAAAGATGACTGTCAGTGGTTCTGAGATCACATCTGCCAGTTCTTTTAATACTCTTGGATGCAGTTCGTCTGGCCCTGAAGACTTGAATACATCTAAACTAGCCAAGTATTCTTGTACTATCTCCTTAGTTATTCTTGGCTGTGTTTCCTCTGCTGAATCATTTGCTCCAAATTCTTCAGGTCGGGCATTGTTTTCTTTATCGGAGAAGACTGGGGCAAAGAAGGCATTGAGGAGTTCAGCCCTTTCTGTGTCCCCTGTTTGCATTTCACCATCTTCTCCTCTGAGTGACCCCACTGTTTCTTTGTTCTTCCTTTTGCTACGGACATACCCATAAAAGCCTTTTTTTGTTGCTTTTAACCTCTCTAGCAAGCCTGAGTTCATTCTGTGCTTTAGCTTTTCTGACTTTGTGTCTACATGTGCTGGGTATTTGTTTGAATTCCTCTTTGGTGGTTTCCCCCCTTTTTCATTTTTTGTACACATCCTTTTTTAATCTTAACTCAGTTAAAAGTTCTTTAGATAGCCACCCTGGCTT